ATTCTCTGCTTTCAGCTAAGATCCATCTAACATCAGCAACAATATACCTAGTACCACGATCCCTTCTAAACCCAACCTGGACTTTCGGAGTTGTACTATCAGTCTGAAAGCATGCGGCTCTAACTTCAAGCTGTTCCATGGGACAACAATGAGTAATCTCTTTCTGAAAGATTTACCATTTTTAAAAACCTGCTGGAGTGTAATCTGTGGATCTGTTTTGACTGGGTAGCACACAACAACAATAGCAGGTGGAGTATACTGTGTTGAACATTGCTTTAATAGTTACTTATCTTTGTGTGCATCGTAAGAATTTATTGCAGATTCTAAATTATTGGTTTATATACTTGTTTAGGATTACTCTTTAATTAGCAGCCACAGGTAAAGGTGATATAATTAAAATTTCAACATAATTAAAAATAATGATATAATTAATTTAAATAATGAAATGGGTAGGTTAAATAGAGTAGAGAGGATAGGATAGATACTGGCAGGTATAAACAATAGATACACAATACAAATGAAAGAGAGAAAATGAGAAACAGTTTGCATCAGGTTTTCACTTCCTGCTTAACAGAAATATATTCCTAGAGTTAATTTCTTATATTCCTAGGTTTAATGTGTTAATTTTGGAAAGAAAAGGGAAGAGAAAATGTTGTATCTTAGTATTGTTATAAATTTAGAAGTTTGAAACTCAGGAGCTCTAGGATATATACTAAATTAAAAAAAATAACTTGTTTGCTTTCTATATTTTAAACAAAAATAGTCTATTAGAAATTAAGACTCAGAAATATTAACATATCTCTAACATTCTATATTTCATTACCCTTGACTATATTCAGTTTTAAAAGAGTAAAGTTTTATATATATAGATAGAGAGATAGATAGATAGATAGATAGATAATCCAAAAGAAATTCTAGATGACAGATATAAGCATAATCTAAAAGATACGCACAGATAATAATCTAAAGAATAATCTAAACAAATGCCGAGATTTAGATAGTATACGTAATAGTAGGCAGAGTACATAGGGTCGCTGAGTTTCATGAGACTCGACAGCACTTAACAATAATAATATCAACACAGAGAGAGAGATCAGCCAGCCCAGTGGACAGAAAGCGATGCTACCAAGCCGAAGGTGGGTGATTTTTAATCCATGCCCCTCGGGCCAGTCTTTCATTGTTTTTGTTCAGACACTCCTCTAGGTCATATATCCCTGGTGTACAAGTTGCCGCACAGTGGTAACTTGTGGTTGCTATGATGCTGAACACTGTGATGCTGATGTTTCAAATGTGTTAATGGTTGGCTACCCAATGAGGACAAAGAGTGGGGTGGAGCTCCCCGACTGAACAAGCGTGGAAGGAGGAGTGGCATCCACTTCTATAATAGTTTGCCTCCGGAAACCCTATGAACCTGGAGAGAGGATGAAAGGAACCCAAGCATCGAGGACTCTCCTTCATAGGGTCGCTATGAGTCGCCTGTGACTCAACAGCACTTAACAAGGTAATAACAAACTTAGTAGTAGTGGTTCAGTCACCTTGAAAGATTTTATAATTATTTTTTTAAAAAATGAAAAGTGTTTATGTGTTCATCTTATCTTTTCAATACATGTAATAAAAACCTGGTTCATACTCTTTTAAACTTTTGTTAGTTAGTTGTTGCAGTTGTAAGGTACCATCAAATTAGAAATACCTGACCTTCAACAGCATTTTCTTTTTTTAATATTTTATTATTACTTTATACCATAATCAAACACCAAGTAGGATATTAGGGAGCTTATTGGAACAGCTCTGCTGGGGTGGTGGATTAGGTGTTGGGCTGCTAACCGAAGATTGGCAGTTCATACCCACCAGCCACGCACTGGGAAAGAGATGAGACATTCTTCTATAAAGACTCACAGCCCCAGAAGCTCTATGGGGGATTCCTACTATCCTGTAGCATCATTGTGAGTTAGGATCAATTTTATAGATGTGGGTTTGGCTTTATTTTTATATGTAAATAAATGCTTTTGTAGTATTTGGAATTTTTAAAAATCAACCGACTGTTACTACCATATATGAATGTTATAAATGCATAAACCTCTATTTAAAACTGAAAACAAAGCTGAATTTTACCCCTGTCCTGAATGTATACTTTTTTTTTCATTCTCAAGACGTACATAAAAATTGGTTAACTAAGTGTTAACTTTGAAGTAATGATCCACATAAATAATGAGTTTTAATAGTATCATTTGTTTCTGGTTAATAATAAGCATAAATAAACTTTATTATAACAGATTGGAGAAATATGGAATGAAATATATGAAGAAATAAAATTAGAAAATTTAAGACCAGTCAGTACAGATGCAAAAATTTTGGAAGCAATTACAACAGCATCAGAAAATATTGGAAAGATGGTTGTTTCCCTACAGAGTGAGATGATTGAAAGCCAAGCACGCCAAGATGTGCACAACGAACAAAAGATGTACACAAAAGTAAGCACCAAACTGCTGAAGCACAAGAGTCATGTCAGTGTGTTAACTATTTCAAGTTGTCCATAGAAATGCTTTCCTTAACTGTGAATGCTTCAGAATGTGGTTTTCTCTTACAGTTATTTTTCATTTTTTTGTACATAGTTTTTAAAAGAAAACATTAAGAGTTTCAGATTTAATTACACTACTTAATGCCATATTCTTACACTATAATTTATCATCTTCAGGCCACCATTTTTAAAAGCAAAGAAGCACTTTCTGAGACACATCCATTTTTTTGAAACACCAGACAGAGTTCCAAACTGTGACCTATTTAAATGTATGGTGGTGGTATTGGATGCCATCAAATCAGTTCCAACTTACAGAGACCTTTATAACAAAACAAAACACTGCCTGTTTCTGTGCCACCTCCTAGTCATTGCTATGTTTAAAAGCCTATTAGATCTGTCACTGGGAACTCCAATGGCCTAATGGTAAGGAGCTACATTGCCACCCCAAAGGCATGCAGTTTGAATACACCAGCTGCTGCATGAGAGAAAGATAGGCAATCTCCTCCACCATGATTTATAAACTCTAAAACCCCTGGATGTTCAGCTATGAATTGGTTCTTACTCGACGGCTCATAACATTACAGCCACTGTGTCAATCCATCTCCACTGATGATCTTCTTTTTCATTGACCCTCTGCCTTACCCAACTATGACATCCTTTCCAGGGACAGGTCCCTCCTGATAACATGTGCAAAGTACACGAGATGAGGTCACTCAAGCCATCCTCACTTCTGAGCCTTCTGGATGTGCTTCTTCCAAGATAGGTTTGGTCATTCTTCTGGCAGTCTGTCCATTCAATATTCCTTGCCAACACAATTCAAGTACATCAGTTCTTCTTCAGTTTTCTGTATTCATTATAGTACAGTAGATGAGGCAATTGAAAATACCATGCAACTTAATCCTCAAAGTGACGCCTTTATATTTTAACTTTAAAGCTGTGGATTTTTTCAGCAGAATTTTAATGTATATATTTAACACACTCTAATACACAGCAAAATCTAGGTGTACCTTATTAAATAAGGTATTTCAACTCTTTTTTTGATATCTTTCTATAGACACTGACACTCTTAAATTTCTCTTTTTCACTTCAGATACAAGCCACACATAAACAAAGAGAATTGGCTAATAAATCCTGGGAAAATTTCTTGGCTAGAACATCAAATGCTAAAGCTTTAAAGGTAAGTTAGTTGTTTGTTTTTCTAAGTATTACAACACCCATAAAAAATAATGAGCTCTGTCTGAAGAGAGATACTTCAAGGAATGAATATTCATTTTCATTTCTCTGGTGACAATCTCTAGAGCATTAAACTATTAGATCTATGTATGCAATTTAAAATAACTGAAACTATACTGCAGTAGTTGATCACATTTTTATATGTAATGTTTGTATTTTCATAGCTATCTAGTATTATGATGGTGTGATTTAAAAGTGGTATTCCTGACCTGGATAAAGAGGAGGATAATAGCCAAGAATCAGTGGGGGAAATATGCCCCTTTCCATTTTGAAACATCTTATTGGTATTTTCTCCATAGAAAAATAAGGGAGGGAAAGGGGGGGGGACGGAAATCCTTATTTTTTTTTCCCTAAGGGTTTTTCTCCTGCCTGACTGTAAAATGTATATCCTAAATTTCATTTGTATAAACATCATATATTAAAAAAATGTGATGAGTTGCTTCAATTATAAACTAAAAAAAAATCTATAATGGTGGTTTTTAGGGATGGGAAAGGAATAATTTTTCTTTTAAGAGACTAAAAATAAATAAAGGAATAAGTTGGGTGAAGGGAAAGGCAATAAGGAGTTAACCAGTCATTATAATTAATTTATCTTGTAAATCAGTTGTAATTAATATTATAAAAACAAAATATTTCTGAATTATTGGATGAAAACCCAATATGACATGCAAACTTCCATTGAAAAAATAAAATAAAAATTCAAAACCCAATAATCCTAATTTTGAAATATGTGGAAAGCACCTTCTCTATCTTTTCCATTAATACTTTGGAGACATTTTGCCTATTATTAGTTGTTGAGTTAATCCAAGAAAATACCTATCAAGATAGAAAAATCAAAGTTAACAGGATACATCAAGGAACCATCATATTTCCACATTTTCTTTACAAGGACTTTCCAGCTTTATCTACAAAATATCCTTCAGACATCCCCATATTTAAGGAATAACTAATAAATATCAGGCCTTGCCCTTTTGAGATCACTTACCATGTCCCATCTCACTTGTTTCAGTGCAACAGTGCAGCTGCCAAAAATTTCTTTCTTTTTTAGTTGCAAGTACTTTTTAAAAAATTATTAATAGTTTTAATGAAAATTTACAGAGACTTTGGATTTCCATTCATTCATTGTTACACTTTTCTCCCTGTCCACCCCGCCCCCCCCAAATTTCTAAATCACTGTGTTCTGAATATTTGACACATTTAAATGTGCTAAATTAGAATCTATGCAAAGTATATCACAAATAAGCTTTAAACTATATAGATTTAGTAGCTTTGTATAATGTAATAAAAAATGAACTCAGTTTTTTAGTACCTGCTTTACTCTTTGGTCAATGACTGGTACCACGAGAAATAGTGACCTTTTCAGGTAAGTAGTGTTGTTCTTGGGTACTATCAAGTCGGAACTGATACATACCTGACCCTCCAGCTGGTTTTTAGAGGCAGTTAATCACATGGGAGGAGATTGCTCATCTTTCTCCCGTAGGGCAGCTGTTGGATTCAAATAGCTTGCCTTGGGGGTTACAGCTCCCTAATAAACAGCCACCATGAGCTAGACATATTAATATTATGTCCATTTCACTGTAAGTAGAATCGTTATTGCTTTACTAGAAAGTGACTATTTTATTCCTAATTTATAAATCTTCAGAAAGCAAAAAGGCTTCAGGAAAAAGCCATAGAATCCTCTAGATACAGTGAGCGACGACCACAAAATGCAGTATTTCACCGGACAGATATTAAAGGCCTTAATACAACGGTAAGTTTTCTTTTGAGGAGTTTGTTTTTTGTGGTTTGGTTTGGTTTGGGTTTTGTTTTTTGTTTTTAGGGCTTTTTCACCCCCTCCATAACTCTTCTGAATAGATACTAAATTTAGTCATCAAAGAGTGTTATTTTTCCTGAGTTGTTACCTCAAATTTTTCTTTTCCCAGTTCAGATTTCACATAGTTCAGGCATATTGGTCTCTGAGGTCTCTCGCAGCACTGGTCTGCAGCCAACTTTGCCCTCCAAGATGCCCAAGGAAGTGTTCCAAGCACTTTCTAGGTAGATCAATCCACATACTCAGTACCTACTGTGCCTGGTAAAAATAATCCATGCAATTTTCCTATGCTCCTAATGTCTTCTTCTGGACATAATTTGCCCCAGGCTGATAATCAGTAGAAGGAGAATTTACATTCTTGCTGGCTCCACTGTGCCTAATCTTGTCATTGTGTCATGCTGCATATACTTAAGGAAAGAATGCATTTTTTTTTTCTTCGAGACTTTCAGACATTTGTTATTGAGATAATTTGCTGTTGCTTTTTCAGGTTACCTCTGGCCGGGTAGTCACAGTGGAAAGTACTCCTACTCGACTATTAGGAGGACCTCTGGCTGACACAGATCTTGCCCTGAAAAAACTGCCTATTCAAGGTGGAGCTTTGCAGAAGGTGAAAGCTGTTAAAATCATAGATGAGTCAAAGAAGAGTAAATAAAAAAATTCCAGAGACTTTATGAAATAAATTTTGCTTAGAATTTCCTAGCTAAATATATCTTTATATATTAATGTAAATAAAATCATTTAGAATAACTATTTCAGTAAAAAATAGTATGCTATGTGTAAAAAAGTACAATTAAGTATATATAGTTTATTTTTATTGAAAATATTAACATATAGTCTCAAGAATTATCATCGAATTCTTCAGAAAGATTTTTAATTCTTATAATTAAAAATTTAAAACAATATCGTATAAAGACTCTTGGTTTTAAGTGAAAGAAAAAACTTACTCAAACTACTCATTGCCTTAGACCCGACAACATGGCCAGGTGGGAACATGTAAGTTAAGTGAATCTTTGAGGTTTCACCCACCACCATTAGCTCCCCCTGGGTGTGGTTTTCAGCTGCCTCAACTTCAAACAGTTGGTTCTCATTGATCAGTGGCTGCAACATCATCAATAGCTGTAAGACAAATATAAGAGAGGGAGCTAGTGATGCTGGAGGGAAGCTCTGGTGAGCTGTAGCCTGATGAATAAAAATGATGAGTTTAATAAGCACAGACTAAAGTGGCTTCAGTTGTCTCAGAAAGAGGTGTTTGTTACTACATGAAGAAGCTCACACATTGTTATACTCCTTGTGGTGGTGGGGATAAAAGGGTTAAGTACAGCAGAGTCAGCATAGACTCACTAACCCTATGTACAACAGAACAAAACAGGACTAGATCCTGTGTCCCACAAAATAAATGTACATAATGATAAAATGTAGAATCTATATTCAGCCGTGGTCTTTGCAATCACTTGTTATGCATCAGAGAGTTGGGCAATGACCAAGGAGGATAGAAGGAGAATTGATGCCTTTGAGCTGTGGTGCTGGAGAAGAGTATTGAGAATACCATGGACTGCTAGGAAAACAAACAGAGTCATCCTGGAAAGGGTTAAACCGGGTGGCTCCTTGGAGGCAAGAATTCTGGGGCTTCGTCTAACATACTTTGGACATGTTGTAAGGAGAGACCGGTCCTTGGAGAAGGACATCATGCTTGGGAGGGTGGAGGGACAGCGCAAGAGGTGAAGGCCCTCTATGAGGTGGATTGATTCAGTGACTGGGATAATTGGGATGGGAGTGCCAGAGACAGTGCGATTGGCACAGGACAGAGCAGAGTTTAGGGATTTTGTACATAAGGTCGCTATGAGTCACAAGCGACTCGACGGCACATAACAACAACAACAACATATTCAGATGCCCCATGATCCATGGAAGGATTAAGGGTGAAATGCAGCATTCCTTAATTCCATCACAGCCCCAATTGGAAGTAAAGGGTTTCTTCACAGGTGTGACCTCTTGTTGTTCTTGTTAGGTGCCATCGAATCGAGAACGACTCATAGCGACCCTATGAACAAAAGATCTGAACCCTGTTCTATCCTATGCCATCCTCACACTTTCTGACACACAAGAGACCATTGCAGCAGTCACTGTGTCAGTCCACCTGGTTGAGGGCCTTCCTCTCCTTCGACAACCCTACCCCCTTCCCAGCACCATGTCCCTCTCCAAGGAAGAGCCCGTCCTAGTAACATGACCAAAGTATGTGAGGCGAAGCCTCATCATTCTTGCCTCCAAAAAGCACTCAGCTGCATCCTCTTCAAGACATATCTGTTCATTTTCTTGGTCATCCATGAATTGTTCAGTGCTCTTCTCCTCTAATATTAATACCACCTAACTTGACATTAGTTTCATTAACAACCATGTTTTGTTATTGGTTGTATTTAGTCAAGGAAAACATCAAAGGGTGCTTACTGAGAAAAATAAAGATATTTGAGGATTGACTTGGTATTATCAGCTCAAGACTTTATAGGCAGATCCACTCAAAGATCTTGGTTTCTAATAGCACTCTCCAGCAAAGGGAACCAAAACTCTTTGGCTGGTTGTAGAACTCTCTCTATAATGGCATGACTGTTTCAAAAACTGGGAGATTTGTAAAAGAATGTGACACCTAATTACTATCAAGAAGATAGACTGCCTTTTCAGGTCTCCACCAGTTCCTTCTCATTTCCTTCACCCCCTCCCTCTACCCACCAAACTGCGTCCCTGTGGTTTTGCCCTTAACGATCCTCACCCCTCCACTCCCACCCCTTAGCCCCCTTTGGTTCCCAGATGTTTTACTAGTCATCCTTCTATTTTTACAAGAATGGTCTTATGTAGTATTTGCACTTATGAGAAAGACTGAGTTAGTTCACTCAGCATAACGTTCTCCAGTTTCTGCTAAGTTATGTGGTATGTTTCAAAATCTTTGCTCCTCAGTGCTGCAGAGCATTCCATTGTATGAATGTACCACAGTTTCCCAGTCCATTCAGTTGTGGCTGGACATCTGGGCTGTTTCCATGTTCTTGCAATGGTGAATAGCACTGTTATGAACATTGGTTTACAGATCTTCGTTTGGGTCTCAATTCTAATTTTTTTGGATGGGCAAGGTCCAATGGCGATTAATTTTATAAAAAATAATGCATGGGAATGATTGTATGAAACACAATGTGAATGAAGAATAGTGTGAAACACAATATATATGAACTTTGTAAACAAACCAATATTAAATTAAAAATAAAGAAGATAGACTGCTTTGAAACAAGAATACACATTTCTGGCAACTATCCTCTAATATTAATTGCTTAAATTTAAGAATCCAATGTAACATGTCAACTCAATTAAAACTAATTTTCAATTAATATCTTGGAACATAAACATTTCATTTTATCAGTATAATAAAATTTCCATTATGACTACAGGTGATTGATGACAATTGGCTGGACAATTTTTAGGCAAAATGTGGTCTCACTTTATGACACAGAGTTTTTAAGCCTTGGTAATTCATTTGCTCACAGAATACAAAGGACATAAAATAGTTTTCTAAAACTCTTGAACCTGAATATCCAGGTGCTCCTTCTGACTTTCCCAATACAATTCGTCTCCTGATTTCCTGGCTGCTTTTACCAAGAGTGTTGACTGTGGAGCCAAGCAAACTAAAACTGTTAACTATCTCAATCTCTTCACCATCCATACTGATGCTGCCAATTGGTCCAGTGGTGAGAATCTTTATTTTCTTGATGTTGAGCTTCAACCTGTATTGATGGCTGCAGTCCTTGACCTTATGCAGCAAGTGCTTTTAGGTCCTCCTCAATTTCAGCACGCAGGGTTGTGTCATCTGCATAACACAGGTTGTTGATGAATTTTCCACCAATCCTGAGGCCATGTTACTCCTTGAACAGCCCAGTGTCCCAGATGCTCTGTTCTGCATACAGATTAAAAAGGTATGGAGACAGAATACATCCCCAGCAGACCCCCTTCCCAATAAATGGTGTTGGTCTCACCCTTTATTGGCGCCAGAAAATATTTGCTAGACTTCTAACCTCAGAATATCTGCTGATTATTATATAAAACTTGACTATATGCAATAATATTTGAAAAAAGATATTTGAAAACTATGCAGTTCATTCATCCATTTTAATATTGGTGATTTTAAACTGGGGTTCTTGAACCCATTAAAATATACACAAATTGATCCATGTATGTATGTAAGTATTTACATGTACATATGTATGTATGTAAAGGATCTAAGGGTCCGTGGTGGCACAGTGTTTTACATGCTTGCCTGGTAGCCAAAATGGTCAAGGTTTGAATCCACTAGCCATTTATTCCATGAGATAAAGATGGAGATTTGCATACACATTCCTGAAGTCCTGAGCTATGTGTGATGAGGCATTATAATACCTGGGTCAGAAACTCAATGAAGGGTTATTATGAGTCAGAACTGACTCAACAATGGTGTATTTTAGAATAATCTATAATTTTATTAGAGGATTAATGTGTTTAAAAAAATCAAAAGAATTTCAATTCCTCTCCTTTAGTATAAAAATTATTTTGGGGCCAAGTCTAACCATCAAATAGTTTCATATTTGTTTACCACCATTTCTAATATAGCAGCTGCTTACAAACTTGTATATAGGTAAGTTTGGGTGTGCTGGCATCAGTTTGCACAGACGGGACTCTGTCCTTGCAGAGAAGCATTATGAAGACTTCTGAGAGAAATTTCTACTGATTCTTAATCTTGAGCAGGCATATCAAGTTCTTAAGAATCAAGATTTCTTCTGAATCTCTCTTCACTGGAGTCTGAATAGAAAAATCAAACAAAGTTTACAGCTACCCTCTTCAAACTGTGTGTCTAAATCATCACTATATATTATATATTAGTATCTTGCCTATATCTAATTTCCTCATCTATATCATATTATTTAACTTAGTGTATTTTTTGTGAAGGTTCTTAATATTTTTGAAATAAGACATTATATTCAAATAACCACCAAAAATCCCTCTACTGAGCTAACACTTAAATATAAAAATGTTAACAGTATTTGAATGAAATGTTACTGCCTTTTTACTATTATTTAACATAATGAAAATAAGAGCATAAAATATTTTGTTCTATAATTCATAGAAAAACACTTTAATATATGATAGCTCCGTGATTAAATACACATTTCAGAAACCACAGAATATATTACATCAAGATTAAATATTACTTTTTAGATCAATAGTGATGTTACTTTTGGCACAATTTTAAAGTAAATACTAATATGTAAGATACTTTATACATATAAAATTGATTACAGTTTTTCTCTATTGACTATTTCATTAAAAAATATATTGCATTTGCATTAAAGTGGTATTTCATTAAAACAAAGACACTAGAGTCTGTAGAAATAAAAAAAAATAACATTGACAAATTGCCTAAAAAGATTAAAATTATCATACAGTAATAATAAAGCAATTACATACCAACAAAAACACAACCTTCAGTATTAACATCAATATTAAGGAATTAGAAATAACAACTTTGATAAACAGGACATTTTTGACATAATTACTGACAGAATTACGCTACTGATATCATCTTGCTTGAAGCATTTTCCATATTCTCTCTCTTAAATGTAAAACTCATGTTTTGCAAACTGCAGTCCTGTACAATTAGAGAAGAGAAATTAAGATATAGGCAAATATAATGATTTAAGCTTCCCTGTCTTCTGTTTAGTAGCTCTATTGGAAGAAATTATTTACAACTGCCTAAATATATTTGTAATATAAAAAATATTTCAAATATAATATCAACAATTACAGAGTTAGCTTTCTTGTGAAACATTCACTGAGGGAAAAAAACAAAGCAAAACAATTCTAAAGATCTGCCAAAATGAGTCCTAAGAGCAGTAAGACTCATTTATATACCAGAAACTTGGGCGGCTTCTAAAAAAACAAATTAGTATCATATTAAGAAAAAAAGGCAAATTTATTAGAAAGTAAAGTTTCACAAAACAGAAAGACTAAATAATGAGTCTTTAGGAATACAAAACTACTCTTATTTTAGTGCATCATACTACACACTATATAACCAGAGCTCCTTTAAACTACTATTCTTATACATACATAATTAAATTACCTGTTATCTTTTGTGGGAAGTTATACTTAGGCGACATCACCTGTCTTCTGCCCATTCCATGAGATCTTGAAAGCAAACAGTCAACATACATGTTCCAGAAGTCCTGAGCTATGTGTAAGAAGGCATTATAATGTCTGGGCCGCTGGGATTTTTGCAAGAACAACATGAAATTCCAAAAAGTATCCACATTGTACTCTATCTTGAGTTCCTTGAGCTCTATCAGTGTCAAAGAACAAGTGTTCCAACACTGGAGATCTATGTCTTCTGTGATTCCTGGGCTGACGCTGGCAAGCACTCCCTTTTGAAATTCAAAATCAGCATTAACCAGATTGATCAGTATCATGCAGCCCAGGGCTAGAAAGAACCATCTTCCTGTGACAGAATCCATACTCTGTACAGACAATAAATATATAAAGGTGGGGGGAAGATAAGTTTTACTTAAACACTTTTTGCTTAGAAAATTACTATTTATTTTCAGACTTCTTTTCAATCAAGCCAACTGTGCAATCTATTTGCTGGTCTTCCTGTATCTACTAATAAATAGACCTTCCTTTGAACGGATTATTACAATTCCACTTGGTTACCAACGTTCTGCTTAAGAGTCACAGCCAGCCAATGAAATCCCACAAATCACGTTAATGAAAGATAAGAGAGGTTCATTTAATCATGGATCCTTAAGAGCTTAAAGAGCAAGTGTTCCAACATTTTTTTTCCTTCAACAAGAGATCTGTTCCTACCGGTTTGCCTCAATAAATTATCAAGTTTCCTGCCTTTTCGTTTGAATCTTCTACCATTCCAAAACTCAAGTATATGAGTCAAACACAGCTTGCTCTATGTGTAAGCATACAGAAAGAAAATAATAAAGATGTTTCAAATCCACTCCAAAACAGTCAAGCACTATTTTTAAATTACTGTCATTTCCCTTCTTAGTCATCAACGTGTCAAGCAACACTAATGAATCCTTGGCTTCCCTCAAGTGGCCGAGGAGCTCTCTGGAAATTAACTCACATACGCGAGGGAGTATAACAATACAAATCATATACGATGGTGAGGGCCAATTACGTTCAGGACAACCTTGACAAGTTCCATTATTTTTTTGCTCAAGTTTCCCTGCCAGTTGACGGCTCAGTAAACCATCTTTTTTTTTATTTGTTTATGTATATTTATTTTATTGACTATGCAAGGGCTTTAGATTGTGTGGTTCACAACAAATTGTGGCTAATGTTGAGAAGAATGGAAATCTCCGAATTGAGCTCTTATGAAACCTATACCTACACCAAGAAGCTGTTGTCCAAACAGAGCAAGGCAACACTGCATACTTAGTAAACCATCTTAAAGCACCCAAGTGGGTATTCAATTTCCACAAAGCTCCTCTTCCAGGCTGGCATCGGACATGCCCTTAATACAACCTTAGCAGCCTGGGTGGAGGGATGATGTGGGTAACCGATTCAGAAGACCAGACTCACCTCTTTCTCCTATACCGCCGTTTGCTACCTCCCCTAAAATAAGTTGGAATAAAGAAAGGAACCAGAACAAGCGATTTTAAGATATCCAGGCGGTCTCACATCGTTGAAAAGTGTGCAGATAGTCCAAACTGAGCAAAGCGTGTCCAATGTAAGGTCCAAGTTCTAGAGGGGAGAAATGGTGATAGAGGACGGTCTTGCCCAGGTATTTTTACATAGGAACCGACCAGCGCGAGTGGCCCCTGCTTCCGTCACCGGACCCAGAGGAGGGAGCCCGCTCAGGAATCACTTACCCTGGTCGGCGGCGGCGTGCGCCCCACGCGGGGTCCTGTGCCGCGCGCGGGCTCGAGTTCTTGGGACGCAGGAGGCTCCTGACTCAAAGGAAAAGAGTGAGTCCCAGGCACACACCTAGCCTTCCAGGTCCCTCCCTTTTCCCTGCAGAACTCACCCTTCACCGAACGCTCCCGGCACGCTCACCTAGAGCCCCAGCAGCCGAAGGATTCCTGGAAAGGTACGGGACTTCCGCGGATGCGCTGCGCTCCGGAGGTGGAGATTCTGCTTGGCCAGCGAGCGGCGATGTGGGGTCTGTGCGGCCTCGCCGGGCCCCGAAGACTCGCACATCCGCCGGACTCGCGGCTTTTCTAGGTGCTGCGAGCGGGTGGTGACCGCCTTTGCAAGGCCCCTCCCTTCGCCCACCTTCTACGCGCCAGGCCACCCCTCGTCAACTGTTCTGCCTTTCAGTTCCTCTCTCTGCTCTGAGGATGCACTTTTCAGAAACAGTCCATGAACCCAAGCTACTAGCTTCGTTCTACCAACCCACTTTCGTGCCCTAGCCAGACAACAGATTTCTAAAAATGCTTTGAGAGTTTGTTGTTAGCTGCCATCACGTCACCGCCACCCTGTTGTAGTTGTGTGCAGAGAAGGTGGAGAGGGAACCTACTCGCAGTTGACCCTACAGTGGGTGTTCAGAGACAGTAAAGCTGCACTGAGGAAACTGCCATCCTTCTATTGTCGAGCGGTTGATGGATTTGAACCACTTGCCCTTGGGATTACAGCACAACTTCTTATCAGTAGGCCACCAGACCCTAGGAATAGCAAACTGACTTTGTGCCCTATATCCTATGCTGTTCTTATAATCTTCGCCATCTCCTAGTCTACTCCATGATGACGCCTCTGCTGTCCTCTGTTGTCACTGTGTCAATCCTCGTCCCTTTTCCCAAAGCCTGGCCCCTCCTGGCAATATGACCCAACTATGGAAGACAACATTTCTCTATCCTTTCCTCCAAGGGGAACTCAGGTTGCATTTCCTCCGAGACATATTTGCTTTTAGCTGTTGTGTTCTCTGGAGTAAGAACCGATTTATGGGTAACTTTCCAGCGAGTTTTCAGAGGCTACATATCCTGTGGGAAGAGATTGCCCATCTTTCCCCTGATGAGCGGCTACTGTATTTGAACCTTCTGCCTTTGAGTTGGCAGTATAATTCTTTTTTAAAATTTTTTTCTTTTTATTAATATTTTTGTGTGTACCATCAAACCGGCTCTGACTGGTACAGGAGGAGATTGTCCCTCCTTCTCCGTCCCTCCTTCTCCAGCAGAGCATATGGTGGATTCCAACCATGTACCTCTGGGATTGCAGTGCAGCTTCTTGGCACTAGGCCACCATAGCTCACTGGCAGTGCAGCTCTTTACTCACTGAGCCACGAAGCTCCCTTTTCTTTCTGCAGTCCGTGATATATTCAATACTTTTCATTAACACCATAATTCAAAAGCATCAATTCTTCTTTGACCTTCCTTACTCATTGTCCACCTTTCAGGTGCATAGAAAGCAATGGATACTATAATTTGGCTTGGATCAGGTATGCATTGGTCTGAAAACGGACACTGTTGCTATTTAGCACTTTACAGTCAGATGGCTATACCTCTATGGTCTGGCTATGCCTCCATCTCTAGCACTTTGAAGAGGTGCCTGACAGCAGATTTCCCCAATACAACAGATCCTTTGATTTCTTGACTGCTACTATAATGGATACTGATTGTAGATCCAAGTAGAATTAAATGCTTGACCATTTCAATCTTTTCTCCATCCATGATGATGTTACCTGTTGGTTCAATTGTGAGGATTTTTGTTTTGCTAATATTAAGATGTAACTTATACAGATCAAAGACTGCAGCTTTCAATAAGTTACATATTGAAGGTTCATGAGAATTTAGGTAATTCCAAACCTCTCAGGTCCGGTTCCAATCTCTTTGCTCAGCACCATTTAAATCATTAACACCAACACATGCTTACATATTAACGTGCTCTCCCTCCTGCCTAAATGCCTGTTATTTAACTTTGGGAAAATAATTTTTTTAACTTTAATAGATTGAAGATTCCAAGCAATCTTTCACATTTCCTATTTGTATCTTCTGTATCATATCTTGCCTTGATATAACATCTGATCTACCTTTGTGTTTATTCTTACTCCTATACTCAAATTCTCACATAAATCAATAGATAGAACTGAATAGGAAATCAATCTAAGGACAGGTGCCTTATCCACAGTTTCCCTTATGTGTATCACTCTTTCTTCTTAGTCCTTGAACTGTTATAAGAGGATGGTATGATGCAAGATCCATATGCCAAATTCCTCAATCACTGTCTCTCACTAACACCCACTTCTCCCAATGACTACAGCTGCTCAGTGCTCCACTCTGCTCACCATGAGCTATCGTGATTAACAATTTATCCTTTCCTGGCTGTGCCATGCACCTAGCAACTCCAGGATCCACTTCTGCAAAAAACAAAATTGAGAAAAGATTCATTTCTCAGATTAGATAGGGCACTATCCAATTCATATTATGGCAAATTTTCTTCTGCTCTAGGATTCCAGATGTTCAACCAGTTATTGTGATATTGACTACAACTCATACCAACCTCATGTACATAAAAAAAAAGGACATCAAAGAGTTTTCAAGTGCTGCTTTATAGAAACAGATCATGGTGCCTTTGAGTGCACTAGTACCTCCAACCTTCTCTTAGCCCCTGAGTTCATGAACCTTTTTTTGCACTGCCCAGGGACAACTCTAGTTGTTCCAGTAGTTGACCAATTCAGCAAAGTAGCAGGATACAAGATCAACATACAAAAATCAGTTGGCTTTCTCTACCGTGACAAAAAGAATACAGAGCCA